TAACGTGTGACTTGTTTGCAACTCCGGTGCATTAATTGCTTGTTAAGACTCTTGAGTCTGTTCATTCTTCCTTCCATCCAAAACTTCTGATTTCTAACTTTTATTGTTTCTCACCTAATAGAAATATGATTATTAACCGTCTCTGCATAGGTTTTTTTTTCTATTGAGAATGTTTAATCTGTCTTCTCATGTGAGAAGCGGCTGGACACAAGTGAAGCCAATCTTACTGACACTTTTGCAGGAGATCCAACAGGATTGGCTTCACTTTAACCTTTACCCTTCATCTTTCATCCTTAGTGGGGACAGCCAAGGTGTTCAAAAATTTCTCCTGTGATACACACTTATTATTTTGTCTTTCGTTTTAAAGTGCTTTATTACTTATTTTAAGCTTGAGTTATTCTGGTAATATACATGTAACTCTTTATCCCCCACTCTTTCTGTAGATCATACTTTTTATATAAAATGTCTGTGTTCAGTTCTTGTCATCTCCAAGTAGAACTGGAAAAGTCTCTTGCTTGTATTACCATAGGAGCAGCTGTCAACTAGCACAATATAGATAATTTTGAATCAACAGCATTACACAGTTGCTGAATTCCAGTGTAATGCAAGCTCACCAACATAAGAAAAATCTGTCTAGTTTTATTTACCTGGGTAAAATCTTGGGTGACCTCAATTCAGTCATGTTGACTTTTTTTATATCGTACAGGTCAGCGACTCCCAACCTTTTCTAAACCCCGCACCCCTAGAACGCTTCTGATATATTCTCGCATCCCTTAAAAAAGTTTGAAATAATGGCAGTGAATTATGCATGTACATCATGATTTTGAAAACCCAAGTTTTCGTACCCCCTGGATTATCGAGCACCCCCAGCTGCGAACCCCTGGTACAGGTAGTCCTCGACTTACAACAGTTCATTTACAAAGTTACAACAGAACTGTAAAAAGTGACTTATGACTGTTTTTCTCACAACTGTTGCAGCATTTCCATGGTCATATGATTAAAATTTGGATGTTTGGCAACTGATTCATATTTATGACAGTTGCATTGTCCCACAGTCATGTGATTACCTTTTGTGACAAGCAAAGTCAATGGGGACACTAGGTTCACTTAACAACCATCTTACTAACTTAACAACTGCAATGATTCACTTAACAACCGCGGCAAGACAGGTTGTAAAATGGGGCAAAATTCACTTAAGAAATGTGCTGCTTAGCAACAGGAATTTTGAGCTCAATTGTGGCCATAAGTCAGGGACTACCTGTATTACACATACTGATTTCTACTGTTTGATTTATTTAAAAAATGTAATGATGCTATTAAAATGATACAGATAAAAAAATTATCGTTCTTAATATGAAAGTGCAAGTTTCAAGTTCAATTTTTTTTCTGTGATTAGTGAAAAGTCTGTTCACAGCCTTCACAATTAAGTAGGATTTTAAGCAAATTACAGTTATACCTGTAGGATAAAATACAATCTCACCTGTGAAATAAAGCTAAAACTTGAAGTAGAGAATGTGCACTTAAAAACCTAAGAAGAGCTCTGCTCATGTTAATGATCTAGTCCACCATTTTCTTTGCCAGTCAAATCCCAAATGCACAACTGAACAAAAGTGTTATTGCACCTCCTCCTTTGTGTTCTCGAGAGATAAGTAATTGAAGGTAATGTAATGAAAGTAATATGTAGCCATCCTGACCTATAGATAATAATAGCTTTATATAGCCTTTCATCCTTTATTGGTATTTTTTAAATATCAACTCTTTCTCCTGTTGTCTCCTTGAAAATGATGATTTGCTTACAAAAGAAAAGTCTAAGAGAAGTTACCTTCCATAAAATTGTTCTAATGTTTACTGAATAAAATAATATACAGAAGAAAGGAAAGTGGCAGCACTGATTTCGTAACTATAAAATAACACTAAATGTATTTATCTAGTCAGCATATATAGCCATCCTCATGGCGAACAACTTAGCCCAGTGTAAAGTTTAAATAACAATAAAACTATAAAATGAACAGTCATGTAACAAAATAAATTACCCTGGAAACAATCCAAACAATATGAACCCCTGGGACTTAATGCCTGGAAGGACTCTTAAGTTTTTCAAAGCCATGCAGAGGTCAGGCAGGGTCAGGGATATCTGGCTCTCGGAAGGAATATTAATGCATAGAGTAGGCACAGTGATCAAATAGGCACTCTCTTAGGTGCCATAAGATGACATTGCTTAAGAAACGGGATGCAGAGCATGCATTCTTGTTGGATCTTAATGGATGGATAATCAGTCCTGCAAAAATGAAGGCCTTTAATTTGATAACCAGCACCTTGAATTGCACTTAGAAGCCCACTGACAACCATTTGAGCTTGCAAACTAGCAGTGTTTACATGGCTGTTCCGAGATGTGAGATAACTACTGCATTTTGGATCAGTTGGAGCTTCTGAGGTATCTTCAAGTGCAGTCTTTTGTAGAGCACATTGCAGTAATCCACACAAAAGAAGACCCAGGTATGAGTGACCATGAATGGTACCTGCTGATCTAGAAATGGGAACAACTGGCACACAATATCCGAGCCATGGTTGAAATCTTCTACTCAGGCAGGAATCGTGAATCTAGGAACACCCTCAGATCTTGCATTAGATTTTTCTCAGTGTGTGCAATACTATTCAGAATTGGGGATCTAGGAAGCTTCAAAATTCACAGCTACCTAGTCTTGCTAGAGTTGAGCCTGATTCTGTTCTTCCATATCCAGATTCCCTCAGTCTCTAGACATCAAGTCATAATTCTGATGGCATCATTTGGACAGCCAAATGTATAATTAGGTATCATCAGTGTATTTAAGATCAGATGGAACCACCTCTTCATTCAAGGATGAATTTGCTTATGGACCTTGTCTATACCTCACTTTCCAAGGTATCTCAACCAATTAGTAGAGACATGGATCTAATAAGCAGGTAGTTGTACACACTTTACAAGAATCTTGTCCACTTTCTCAACACCCATAGGTTTGAAGTCTTTCCAGAGAATGATGTCAGACAATGCCTCAGTCAACTCAGCGGGGCCTGCACAGTGGGAGTCCAAATATATGGACTAAAGTTATCCTTAGGAGTTCAATATTAATTTTTGAAGAACATTTTACTTGTAAGAAGATTAGATTCACCATGATTTCAGTTGCACCAGAGTTGTAGTGATGCAGTAGTTAGAATGCAGTATTGCAGGCTATCTCTGCTGTCTGCCAGGAATTCGATCCTGACTGGCTCAAGGTTGACTCAGCCTTCCATCCTTCCGAGGATGGCCCAGATTGTTGGACGCAATATGCTGACTCTGTAAACCGCTTAGAGAGGACTGTAAAGCACTGTGAAGCGGTATATAAGTCTTAAGTGCTATTGCTATTGCAAATTGTGTCACAATTATCTGGCCAATTCCTAATCTGCCTTTGGTCTGAAAAGGCTTCTCTCTGTTCTGTGTATTTCAAAGTACTTTACTCGTTGTGCATTCCTAGTAGAATGGGAGTCTCTAATATTTGTGACTTCCCCATAAATACTTGTTCTGCGAATTCACTGCAATACTAGTGCTGAGAATTAATTGCTTGGGACAAAATGGCAAGATATTTTAAGTCTTGTTGCCTAATCCCTTGGTTGCAAATTAAAGTGCAGTGAAATAAAAAACAAGCCCTTTACAAGTCCTGCTTCTTAGAATTGTCTGAATCTTAAGTATTACTTAGGGAATTTTCTAATACAGAATAACAAATATGGGTTCAGAAAAGTTAATAAGTATTTTTAACTGAAGTGGAACATCATAAAAAGCATTTTAAAACTTGAAATTTGACAAGGCAGAAAAAAACAATTTGCTGTAGCTGTATAGTTATTTTTGTAGTGGTTAGATAATTTTTGTGATTAGGTAGGATCTGATCCTGGTGATTTATATATGAACAAATGTTTCTTCTCCCTTTTGCATTGGTTCCTGATGATAATCTGTAATTCTTCCAAAGATGTTCTAGTGATCTCTTTGATCCTATTCATCCACCTTATTGGTCGTCTTCCACTTTTTCTACTTCCTTCCACTTTTTATTGGCAGGCGAGGTTTTTTTCAACCCCATTATAGTAAATAAGATTGAACTATCTTCATTCCATTGTTTGTAAATAGATATTTCTGAGTTGGATAATTAATGAAGTGGGGCCAATTAGAGTAATTTTATACAGTTTAATAATATAGATAGTTCTCAGTTAACAACAGTAATTTGGATCAGGATTTCTGTTGTTAAGTGACACGGTCATAAAACAATGTGACATGAACATTGCTGCTTTGCCATGGCAATTCCAGCACTTCCAATTTCTTTCTTTAAGCAAATCTAGAACAAAGAAACAAGACATCACATAGTCGCCCTCAACCTCCTGCTGGCTTCTCTATTGATGTGGCTTGTCAGAGGCCAGCAGTGAAAGTTGTAAATGGCAATCACATGGCTGCAGGACACTGCAGTGTTGTAATTGTGAGGCAGTAGCTAAGCGCCTGGATCATATCATGTGACCATGGTGGGGGAGCTACAACAGTCTGGACTTTGGAGACTGCTCATTAGTGCCATTTGTTCAGCACCGTCATGAGTTTGAATAATCACTGAACAAGTGGTTGTTAATTGAGGATCACCTGTAATGATAAAGGGAACTGATTTATAAGAGGACTCCAACCGATGTGTTATATATTATAGGGCAAGCATTTGGAAAATGCCTGAGATGAATGAATAAAAGATGTGAAAAATATTTGTTTCAAAAGCTGGAGTGGTCCAAACAGCTGTTTTGAACTTGAAATGGGATGTGTCAAGCTCTATAGGTTTTGCACAATAACAAGTTGTGTATAATGTACTCAATACCATTGCTCAGTGATCTTGTTGGCATTGTCATTTTAATTGATGTTAAAGACCTCTTGGTTCCAAAAAAGTAAAAATAGTCATTTCTGTTTTTTGTGGAACAGTATTTTGAAGTATTGTTTTAATGATAAATCTCTGTTCTCCTAGGAGGATCCAAATAATATCAACACATTAAAAAAGAAAGATCAACACAGTAATGGGGATGAAAAGTCACAAAACATGGAGACCCTGCCTCCAGGTACTGCAGTAGTCGATTGTTACTTTTAAAATATCACACAGAAGTAAATATAACTAATCTAACAGAAAAGTTAAAAAATGTATTTTGACTGAAGTAGACAATGACTTTAAGTATTCCGTTTTATGTATTCATAAAACTTTTAAGGATAAAATGTAAGAACTTTTTGAAGGTATAGTTAACCTCAGCTTAAAACTGACTGTATTCAGTGGGGCATATTTTTGAGTAGACATTATAGGACTGTACTGTTAAAAAGAGAACTGTTAACCTGCTGAAAAGATTTTAAACCAACCCATCCTGAATCATTGTGCAACAAAAATTAGAGTTCTGGAAACCTTACTGTCTTCATATTGAAAACCTCTGATCGTCCTGATTGATAATAAAAAAAAAGATCTGAAATGGGAATGTTTCTGAAGAGTCAAAGGTACCAAAACATCAAATGGACTATGTTTCCTTTCATCTTTTAAAGTAAACAAATCATAACAGTGAAAAACCTCACACACTAGCTTACTGTGGAATAGAATTTTAATCACTGTTGGGACCAATCTGTGAAAGATAAAATGTATCACTAGTTAAGTGGCTCTGGGGCAGTTTTGGAATAGTTTTGATAAGCTATACCAACATAACGTTTTTATACACACACATTGTAAAATGTGCACAATATAAATAAATGAAAACCACAAGTAGTATGGTGCATTAGACTTGGTTTAGACTCTAAATTTGGGACGATATGATTCTGCTAGTCTTCTGTAAAGCTTGGGTGAGCCAGCCAACTTAATCACCCAAATAAAGAGTTTAATATGTAAGGAAAAACATAAAATTAAATCAAAAAGTGGGCATGGATTATTAAAGCATGTGTGATAAAACAGGATCAAGAACAAAAAAAATCACATAAGTATGGATTGAATATAAAAGTGAATGACCAATACTGAGGAATAAGTTGAAATTATTTTATCATATACAGAGAAAAATATGAATGGAATCGCAAAACAAATATATGGAATGAATGGGAAGACAGTTATATTTTAATGTTTCAAGTCTTTCTCTTGATGCCAGTTCAACCCACAGCTCCTCTTATTTCCTACCAGCAATTTTTCCTATGGGAATCTAAACTAACACTCCTTATCAGCAAAGATAGTTCAAGTCAACACAAAGTATTTGTTTGGGCTTCTGTGTGGAAGACTTGATATTTGTCCAGCCAGCAGGAAGACATGGTTGAATGCAGGCTTGTCACAGCCTTTCTAATAATCTGGGAATCAAATATCCATTTTCTTAAAGAGTTACAGTACCATGAGATTGAGTGGAAAGATCTTTGCAGGTATTTGTAAGATTATTCAAGGGTTTTTAGTGGGGATATAAATAGCTTATATAAAGTAAAATTTAGTGGATGGCCCAATAAGGAAGTATTCTGCAAATCCAAAAAGCAAAAATGATCCTCACATACGTGTCATATTGCCTTCAGAAGCTGTTCTATGTTGTGTGTTTTAAATGCTAGTATTGAAATAATTTTAATATTTCAAACAATATTGTAGAGCATGGAACCTATTTGCATTGCTAGTAGGTAAATTGAAGACAGATTGATTTACACGTAGCTGCTAAAACATTTCCTACCCCAGCAAGAGTAGATAAAATGAAGTCATGGTATACTCAGTAATACATTCGATGAAGAGTGCAGTTATGACCCTGTACACTTTTCACACGCAAACGTGCTAAAAGATAGAACCATACACCAGCTGTTCAATTTCTGTTTTCTTTCAAAGCAAATAGCAGACCACAGTGGAGATGCCATCCAGAATTTAAAAAGTGACAGCAATGTTACAAGTCGTAGGAGGTACAGTCAAGTTTGAGTGGGTTTGGAAGAGAGATATCATCTATTACTAGTCCTTGAGAACTTTGCTATATTTGTCTATATACTGAAAAGTGTTTTACCAAAGCCAGAATTTATCTTAGGTCTTCTGTTAATATCAGTTTTTCTTCTTCTTAGGAAAAGTTAGGTGGCAAGACTTTGACCAAGATACTTATGTTGGAGTCACTATGGTCAAAGCTGGTCAAGACCCATATGCTCGCAATAAGTTTAATCAAGTGGAGAGTGATAAGCTACGAATGGACAGAAATGTTCAGGATACAAGACATGATCAGTAAGTACCACATATCTTTAGAAATAGTTTTCTTGTAACAAATAGTGCCTAAGTTGAAAAAGTACCCAAACTAGAAAATGAATATTAAGCAAATTGCTCAGCTATAGCTCTCAAGAGTTCAGTGGTGGGTAGCTCAGATTGTTTGATCCTATTTATATTTCTGTCATAACATTCTCAGTAATTCATAGCACTGAATGACGATTCTAAAAGAATACAAAGGAATTCAAGAATAAATTATACAGTCTGTACAAGACCTGCTTGATTTGGAATATGTTAGAAAGGCAATGTCCTTGGTAGGTACTGTGTCAGCATTGGCATCTCAATTATTTTCCTGCTTGGCATTATTATGGTTTCTAAATCTTGCCTAACTGGGATGCTGTTATGTGCACAACTGAAGATTTAATTCCACTCTTACTAGTTTTAATGTCAATGTTAATCTGTTTTTAATCTTTTTGGATGTTTTGTTTTACTTAACACCTTATAAACATCTATTAGAAACAGAGTTGGCTTATTAATATTTATTCAAATAAATGTGCAGGATAACTGTCTCGCACATAAGGCAAAATCAAGATATGTATTCTTTATTTCTTGGCTCCTTTTTACCTCTTACCGTCTGTGATTCTGGAAAGCTCTCCAAACATGTCTTTTTTCCACTGGCCTGGAGAACCCCTGGCAATAGGGAGTCTGCACATTAGTTTCATCATGTGGAATATTCTGATGCATTCCCTCTTGTGATCTGGTTTTTTTAAATTTATGTTTAATTGTTTTGATTTGATAAAGAAATAAGCGTTTTGCTGAAATTTAAAAAGTACTGGTAACAGGAAAAAAAATGTGGCATCCTTCAATTCTAATTTTTGTCTGCAGTGTTCAGACTAGAATTAGAATTGATCAGATGCAAGCATAGATGCAAAGTTACATGCTTGTTATGCAGTTAACAAAAGCATTGGAAAATTGCTTTTTATTTCTTATATTAAGCAATGGTCCAGTGGCATGGGAAATATTTACCTGCTTTAACTAATTCTGGAATTTTGGGAATGAACAAAAGATCATGTGATTCCATGTGCCCAAATGATCCCAAAGACTGCTTAATATTTGGTTTGAAGACTACAGCATAAACGTTACAAATTTGTCACTGAGATGAACTGGTCCTGTTGTCTATGAAATGGAGTTTTGTTCATGAGCGCCCTCCAATTGCACAAGTAGAGCTTTGCGCACGAGCACAAGCGCCTTCTGCTCAAGCGCCCTCCGTTCGCATAAGTGGAGCTTCCCGCGTGAGTGCAAGCGCCCAATGCTTGTGCAAGTGGAGGTTTGCTTGTGCATGCGCTTGCCCATTGCTCACATGGCTTGGTTTCAAACAGACCATGGCCTGTTAGTGGGCCACAGCTTAGCCCACCTTAGATTGCTAAACTAGTTCATTTTAATTAGCTTTATGTGGATCATTTATATTTTTAATGGTAGAATTTGGTTGAACTACACGTTTTTCAATGTTATATCTTGTAAGTTGTCCATCTCTTAAGAAAACAGGATAGCAAATTCCTAATACTCTATTTGTTTTAGACCCCATATAGGCTGAACGCTTTGTGAAACCTTGAATATGTATGTCTTGCCGCCATACAGGGCCTCCTCCCCCAGGATTGATAAAACTTAGCGTAGCATGGATTGTAAATGAAAAGAACATGGTGCAGAATATTTCAGCAGTAATTCAATTTGATAGTTTATTCTCAATAAGCAATTGTGGAAGAAAGCATTCTTAGAAACGTTTGCATTTATTAAGCTCTGAGGCATTGCAGAAAATGAGACTTTCCCCTTCAGGCATTCTAAGAGCACATTTAAATTTAAAAATATATCAAATAACTACATATGAATGTGATTTTATATTTTTGGAAAGAACAATAAGTGTTCCATTTTATAAACTGAAATATTTGTACCAAACTAATGTCTCATAAGGATCAGAAGCATAGGGATACATGACTGATAAATACATGATAACTCTCCCATGAATAAATGTCTATGGAGATTCTCAATCATCCAGGTCATGGTTGTCCCAAAAGTGTTTTTCAAAAGAAAAACTGGATTTTCTTGTGTTTTTTTTCCTTGAAAATGTTTCACTTCTCATCCAAGAAGCTTCTTCAGTTTTGGCTGAATGGTGGGGGATGGAAGAATTTATAATCCTTAGCAGTCATTTGGTCGTTAAATGAGTGCTAACTGAAGAAACATTTTCAAGGAAAAAACCAAGAAAGCCCAGTTGCCTTTTGAAAAGCACTTTTGGGACAACCGTGAATATGGCTCACACTTGTGAAGTTGTAGATCAGGGGTAGTCAACCTTGGCTCTTTTATGACTCGTGGACTTCAACTCCCAGAATTCCTGAGCCAGCTAAGCTGGCTCAGGAATTCTGGGAATTGAAGTCCACGAGTCATAAAAGAGCCAAGGTTGACTACCCCTGTTGTAGATCATCTTAGTGACAAGCTTGTAACATTTCCTACAGTCTTCAAACTAAATATTCAGTAGTCTTCTGGGCTCATTTGGACACATGGAACCACAGCCTAGAGCAGTTTTTCTCAACCTTGGAAGTTTTTTAAGATACTGTCTGTGGAATCAACTCCCAGAATTCCCCAGCCAGCATGGGAGAGTTGAAGCCCACCTATCTTGAAGCTGCCAAAGTTGAGAAACCCTGGCCTAGAGAATGGCAGTTGTTCTTTCCTTCAATCTTTCTGCTCTTGCTCCTTTCCTAAAAGATCTAATGCAGATGTCTGAAGGTCAGCTTTTAATGAGAATCTCCATGTCAGTGGCACTATGGGGCAGAGGTTTAACATTTGATACTTTTTTGTCTTTTCTTTTAAGGTGTCAGCGAAAACAATGGCGGGTAGACTTACCAGCTACTAGTGTAATCATCACTTTTCACAATGAGGCCCGATCAGCTCTCCTTCGAACTGTTGTCAGGTATTTCTGCAACACTTTCTTAAACCACGAAGGGTTACCACAGAGTGATAATTCTTTTTTTTTTTTCCTCAGCGTATTGAACTAGATGATTATTCTCATCTGATTTTTTTCTTTTTAGTGTTCTCAAAAAAAGCCCACCACATCTTATTAAGGAAATTATATTAGTAGATGACTACAGCAATGATCGTAAGTATTTTCACAAGGCTGTTATTTAGTGCAGTACGTGAGATATTATGTTGTTCTGACAAAGGACTATGGGACTTGTAATCCATGCTGTCTGAAAAGCACTGCTGGAGTTCTCTGAGTTGACTGGGCATATATTTGTCTAGGGTCCTACATTGCTTTTAGTTTCCAAAGCATTTACTTTCTGGCATCTTTAATGCCATAATCTGCCTTAAGTAGCTGCCTCTTCTATTTTTTTTTTTTTTAAAAATGAAATTGTCATCATTCAGACTCGCAAAATAGGCTTATAGTGGAAAACTGGAGGAAATCAGATGAGCTTTAGCTCTGAAATTTGGGGACTTTTCAAGGAGGGAAGATTTCTTTGTGACAGTTTCTTGACACAAGATAAAGAATTAACTGGTTTTCTTTTCTTTTTTCTAGCTGAGGATGGTGCTCTATTAGGTAAAATTGAGAAAGTGAAGATACTTCGAAATGATCGCCGGGAAGGTGAGCGTCCTGTTAGGATTGGAAACAACATGAAGATTGAAGCTTTGGTTAAAAGAGCAATTTTCTCTTTCTGCCCACCCTGAATGTAGAAGAAATAGATTGCACAATGGAAGCAGGGCATTTCGTCCGATAGCTGTTTTAAATTATGTTTTCCAGCTCACATTTTTTTCTTAATCAACATCTCCCTGGAAGCCTTACTTAAATCAATAGCTTCAGAAGTGGAGATCTGATTTATTTATTTTTCTAATTACTTTCTTGTACTGTTCTAAGTTAAAGTGCCTGAAGATTGTTCCTGTTGAACTCTTTCTAGGCACTTTATGTGGGAAAGCCTCTGATTGGTTTACCAGTCTTTCTATCGGATTGTTAGGTAGATTAATATCAGAGGGTAAGCAAAATGCAATCAAGCCAAGTATGTGTCCTTGATTTTCAGGTTTGATGCGCTCTCGTGTTCGAGGGGCAGATGCAGCACAAGCAAAAGTACTTACATTCTTGGATAGTCACTGTGAATGCAACGAGCACTGGCTGGAGCCTCTCCTGGAGAGAGTAGCTGAGGTTAGTTGCAAGGAACATTCTTAATTGTCCCTAAGAAAGGGGCCTCTGGATCCTCTTTTGCATTGTAAAGTTCAGGGGGTCCGCCACTTAAAACTCATTCGTTTAGTGAGCATTCAAAGTTACAACGGCACTGACTTATGACCGGTTTTCACGTTTAACAGCCATTGCAGCATCCCCATGGTCACATGATCAAAATTCATACCCTTTTACAACTGATTCATACTTGTGACGGTTGCAGTGTCCAGGGGTCAGGTGATCACCTTTTGTAACTTTCTGACATGCAACGTCAGTGGGGAAGACAGATTTACTTAACAACCGTGCTACTAGCTTAACAGCTGCAGCGATTCGCTTAACAAAAGTGTGGCAGGAAAGGTCTTAAAACGGGGCAGAATTCACTCAATAACTGTCTTGCTTAGAAACAAAAAACTTTGGGTTCAGTTCTGCTTGTAAGTTGAGAACTATCTGTAGTAGTCTCCATTTAATTTTAAGCAGTACTTTCGGAGGGTTTTTAAAAATCAGTTTATTGACTGAATTCTAAATTGAAGAAATGGTACTGAAGCATAATAATAATAATAATAATAATAATAATAATAATAATAATAATAATAATAATAATAATAATAATAATAATAATAATAATAATAATAATAATAATAAATAAAGACTTGGCAATAGCTAAGCGCAAAAAGTTGAAAAAGACAGAGGGACAAATTCTGGCTGCACAAGACCAAGCCTTAAGAACAAATGTATAGAAAACCAGAATCGAGAAGACAGCAACAGACGCTGAGGAAACCAGATCTAACCAGTCAGGCAGATACTGTGGGGCAGACACTACAGGAGCCAGGCAAATAACCGGGCCTTATGCTACGTGGGGCTTTTTCAAACCTATCCCTGTATGATTTAGAATGTTTAATTTCCTCAAGAATTGAACTGAGTTAGCAAAATACTGTACTTAATTGCAACAAACAGTAGGTTCTTAGAGCAGGAGGGTGGATTTTTTTTCTTTTTTGGAGGGGTGTGTGTGTTTCAATGCTAGCCACTATATATGTGGATAGCACTGAATTTAAAAGCTAGCCTTCTAAAGAAGACCGTGTTTTTGCAACATGCAAAACAACACAAGAGCCTATTGTTCATTAACCTTTGTTTTGAAACATATTTTAGGACAAGACCCGGGTTGTATCTCCCATAATTGATGTAATTAATATGGACAATTTCCAGTATGTGGGGGCCTCGGCTGATTTAAAAGGCGGTATGTATTTTATTGGAATATGAAGCCTTTCCAGGGTCTCTAAATGTGTCACAGTAATCCAGATACTAACTTGAGAAACGTATATCTTTCTATCCCTGTGTAAATAAGTGGAGTAAAATGTCAGAGCATGCTTCCAGCCTTTGGAGCAATGATCTTGTTCATGCTTTTAGTCACTGCGCAGGAGAGTAAAGCCTTTCCTGCTAAAAGGCCCAGATGCAAGGGATGGAAACCATTTCTGCCTAAGGCAGGCATGTCAAACTCGTGATGTGTGATGTCGCGTGATGTATCACGACTTTCCCCCCATTGTCGGCAATGGGGTGGGCGCGGTTTTGGCATGATGCATCCGGCCAGCTGGCCGGCAGTTTGACATGCCTGGCCTAAGGTCTTGAAGAGGTGCTGTAGAAAATACATACAAATATCCTGACACTCTACAGAGCAGCTTTCTGTGTTTTTTTAGTTCCATGGGCTCAAGAGGTGGGAACTGCCAGTTTTGAACCTGTGAGGTTTGTGTCTCAGCTTTGTCAATGAGACTTGGGAAATCGAAATAAAATATCTGTTTTCTTTTCCTTACTTTCTAAAACATTTCTATATATACCCCAAAAAGGGTTCAGCAGGTGATGAAAATGGTAAAAATATTTCCTCTCCTAAGTGGGATGTATGAATTCAGTATCTGGGAGCAGATTTACATTCAGGACCTGCAAGTCTGGTCCATAAAGGAGAAATACAACTGTATCTAGATTAGGATGGAATTGAATTCTAGGATAAGCTCAGCAAGTGACTATCAGCTATTTATTCTTGGACTAGAATTCTTCAGCTCAGGTAGCAACAGCACCAAGCTGACTTCAAGAAAAGCTAATCAGGGATCAGGTCTAATTAGCACCTGGAATGGGGGAAACTACCAGGGTTATTCTAGGGCAGGGGTCTTCAAACTAGACCCTTTTATGACTTATGGACTTCAACTCCCAGAATTCCTCAGCCAGGCACGCTGGCTGAGGAATTCTGGGAGTTGAAGTCCACAAGTCGTAAAAAGGGCCAAGTTTGAAGACCCCTGTTCTAGGGCTATTGGCTAAACCAGTGATTCTCAACTTTAGACACTTGAAGATGTGTGGACTTCAATTCCCAGAATTCCCCAACCTCCATGGGTGGCTGGAGGATTCTGGGAGTTGAAGTCCACACAACGTCAAGCGGTCAAGGTTGAGAAACACTCGGCTAAACTGAGAAGTTCAAAGAACATCAGAGAAGATAGTTAATATCAAATCACATCCACCTCACTGCTGAGAAAGGTACGTCATTATGCCTTTGAAGTCACCAAGAGTCAAGCTTATCTAGCAGAATGTTAATTGCTTCATTCAAATAGATGAAAAAGAGAAAATAGATTGGGAATTCCAGCACATTGTTTATTAATTTCAAGCCTCTTGATCATGGGTACTCAAAACATATTGAGCTTGAACATTTTGAAATGGTTACTTTAAATCTGAAGTGGGTTGCTTGATCTATTCTACAATTGTTTTGATCTTTAAATATCCCTATTTGAACTCTGAAGCTGACTGTTCTGAATTTGATTCAGAGCTATTCTGAATTCAAATCACTTCTGGAATTGTTGGAACATCCTGTTTTGAAATCAAAACCACTGTTTCAAATTCAGAATATTTTGTACCCTCCATTTGAAGCTGTCATCAACTCCTGCAGGATAATATGCTCAGAGGCATCTACAGAAAGCCAAGTTTGCATCACAAGGATGATATATGTGGTGATTCAAGATCTCATTCAAGAGGGGGGCGCGGACCTGGCAGGTATCACCGAGACCTGGCTGGGCACGGAGGGGGGAGTCCCCCTCGTAGACATGTGCCTGCC